TATTACATTTTTTTTTTTTTTTTTTACACCAGGATCTCCCGGTGCCAAAAAACTAATTAGCAGTGTGGTGAATGCATGCACATGCAGCACATGCGGTTTGTGGCACCACAGATAGGTTTGCTGTGCCACAAGCTGCACATGCATGCTTGTGGAGATGCTAAAAAAGCAAGGACACTACTTGTGAGGAAAAGAAAAGACTATTCAGTGGGCAAATCTACATGTGCAAATATTGCAGCCAAATAAACTCTGGTGCAGTTTGTTCTAGAGTTTATTGCTCCCAGGCACAGCATTTAAATGTGTACCCGGAACCACAGCCCTGGCTGGCAGGGAGTCCGGGGGAGTGGGCCGGGTGTCAGCCTGCAAGCCCAGAGCTGCTCAACCCTGGCTCAATGTGCTGTGGAGGAGCTGGCTGGGACATTAGGATGCTGCAGTATGGGGCTAACCAACAGACAGCCCCCAGTCTGTAGCACCCTCATGCCACAGCCAGCCATGGTCACCATCTACACATGTTGTGGCACACTAAATAACTTGCTGTAGGATTGTACTTGTGTTAGGCAGTACTATCCTATGGTAGAATTAATTAGTTTACTCTAATCTAATAGTGCCACACATGTAGACAGTGACGCTTTACTGTGGAGCTAATTAGTCAACTCTGCAGTAAAGCACACATGTAGATGCCCCCAGTAAGTTTTGTTCCATTTGTATTAAGTCCCCTTTCACTGTTCTGACGGTGTAAATGTGCCTCACGTTGTGTGTAAAGCATTTATACCTATGTACCTTACCTTGCCAGGGCAGTGTAAAAGGACCCAATATCAATGAGAATCATGTGCAAGTAGCTATATTTGTGAGTATAGTTAGCCTTCAGTAGATGTACTGCTTACCCATGAAGAAGGGAGGCAAAGAGACTATCCAGTGCAAAAATATGAAATTCAGGACTTGAAAGAAAATAGTGATCAGGTTTGGAAGAGAAACTTGGGAATCTGCTGAGAAGAAGCCTATGACTAGGGGGTGTTATGTGCTGAAGGAGGACTCTCCTACATATTAATGCCAGTAGCTGAATGGTTACAGTTCTGCCCAGGAAGTGAGAAACCCAGGATCTAGGTCCCTCCCTTCCCGCCCCCCACCTAGAGGGTGTTTGACGCTGCAGTTCTTTGACCTCCCAGTACAGTATCCCAACCAATAAAATCACAGGTTAGGCATTCTCTAGTCCTCCCTTTGAAGCCGTCACTTGGGAAGCTAAGAGGGAGATATATGAGGACAAGAGAAAAAAAACGAGCAAGCTAGAGGGTGTGTAGCTCAGTGAGATAGAAGCTAATCTATACAGAAACAAGCCCTGATTCTATATTACACCCTTATTCCCACTGGGGCAGAAACTTTCCACTGCTCTCCATTCATTTTATCCAGTGTCTATTAAATGCAGTGGCTCAGCTTCAAGAATAGATGTAGATAACACCTAAGGGTGAGATTTACAAATTATAATTAGTATTTGTTGACTTTGAAGGAGTTACAACATTCCTCTGTTAGGCTAGGGACAGAAGTTAGTCATAAATTAGTATAAGTGGTCGGCAACTGGTTCAAATCTGTAACACAACAGATGTTCAGTGCACATAAACCACTTTCAAAATGACCAAAACGAGTTTAAGATAAACCTGGATGGCTGAAGTATCAGACTTAACTGATTTAAGTTAAATTCATTTATTGAACTTTTGTCCCAGATCCCCTCAAGATTCAAATTAACTCAGTCCCCCAGCATCCCAGGATGCTTTGCACCACCCTCGAAAACTCCACTTTGCAGGGCTGGTGGGCTAGTCTTGGCCCAAGCTGTCTTCTCTAGCTGATCAGGGCAGCTTACTCTAGCACCCTTCTTCCCCCCTCCCTCCCGCCCCCAGCTTCTAGCCTGGACTGCTGTAGGCAAATCAAA